GAGGACGAACAAAATGCACCGATGAGCACACGCTTGTCATATATGCCATTGCGTGCGTGTGGATGTGTGCGTGCGTGTGAGTGAGTGTGAGTGGATGCACCGGCCACCATCCCTCGCGGCTGACAGGGCATGACACTGCACTGAACATTGCACACGCTTGTGTGTGTGTGTGTGTGTGTGTTTGAGAGAGAGAGAGCGAGCAGTGGTGGTGGGGAGAGAGGGCCCTTCCCTGGTCCCCGTCGAGTCCGGTCGTCCAATGAAATGATGACTGCTCTTTTCTCTCGTGCTAAAAGCCAAAAGAGAGAGAGAGAGAGAGAGAGAGAGGGAGGGAGGGAGATAGTGAGAGAATGAGAGATGACGAGAGACCGAGAGAGAAGAAAGGAGCACCCAAGCGCCTGGTAGTTAGGCAGCGCGGTGGCACTGCTGCTGAGCCGGTGGCCCACCTAGGCAGGCGGGTCCGGTTCGCGAGGAGATGGACCAGCGGGCAGCAAGACCAAGAGACAGGACTCGCAAAAGGTGATGAATGGCAAAGGAAGGTCAATCGCGGAGGGAGTCGGAGAAAGGAAAGGCAGATGATGGTTGGAGGTGAGGCTTTTATTGCTCTGGGGAGGGCCTACTGCTCCACTCTACTCGGCTCGCGATACAGACAATACGCATGACGACTCCATTGAAACAATCAGCCTCGCCCGCTACCTCGTCACTATCGCCACGGATTATCTCTAAGCCAAATTGCATTTTACTGCGCCTAGCGTACTATCGTGCCCGTCCGGAGTGTGCGCGGACAACGGTTAAGCCCCTGGCCAATGACGGCCGGCCTCGCAGCAGCGTCCAGCCCCCTGCCGGCAGCGAGGTAGACTATGGGAGTTAGTTGCTTTTGCGTGCAGCTAGAAGAAAAACTACGCGAAAAAATGTGTTTTGGCACTCTATAGGACGAAATAATGAGCATTCGGATATGTGCCATCTAAAGTGTCATTTTAAACTTAAATTGTTCAATTTATGTATTTTATTTAAATTGACAGCTCACTTTGATGACTCCAAGTTACACTACACACACGAAACAAGTTGTCACACGATTCCTATTTCGCCGCATATCGGTCGAACTTCACTGACGCCTATTCCATGAGGCGTTACAATATCTGTCTGTCTCGGAGGGATAGAAAGAAGGGAGAAGATCAGCGAGGAGACCACGGTGCAGGAGACACACACACGCGCGCGCGCGCGCGCGCGCACACACACACACACACACGCACACAATAGAGCCATACAGGACAATACAGATCATAACCGTAACCTAACCTAAGTGCCGTAACAGAGCCAAGCGCCACAGTGAGAGAGAACCTTGACGGTGCCATAATGGAAAGTTACAGTCGGCCAAACTACGTTCAAACGGCGGCGCCAAGCCAATGCCTCCTTAGTGCGGCTGCAGTCCGAGAGAGACCCCCTTTCACCCCACCACCCTCCCCTCCTCATCCCCCCGGGGCCCCCGGTTTTCCACGCCCCGCGTTTATGACTTCTACGTTTACGTTCTCCCCGTTGAGATTGAGTGTTAAGCCCTTCCGTAAGGGACGTCTTGAACGCCGCCTGTGCTAACCTGACGTCGGTCCGACGTCGCCGCGCTTGGGCCCCGCGGAGGGGCCTTATATGGTTCATTCCTTTCGTCAACTTTGGCGGAAACTTGATATTTGTGGTGGCGGCGGCGGGGGCGGCATTCGGTTTTTGTGGGCCTCGGCGGTCGGTTTGCGAGGGCGTTTGGCCGAAGGGGGGCTTTTCACTGCCCTTCACTCTCGTGCCGTGCTCCCGCAGGCACACCCCGACCACGCCTGATCCCGCTCTGTCTTTGCCTCGATGAAGCTGAAGCTATCGTGTGTAAGTATCCCAAGCATCAATGTGACAAAAGTACCTACCCCATAATAAAATTACCCCGGAAATCACCTACTCGTTTCTTTCTCCTCCCGACCCTTCGTTTCGCACCTCGTTTTCTGCATTTTTCAATCGGCGGAGCCAATTACTCTGTCGGGCCAAGGAAGAGTGAGAAAGAGAGAGAGAGAGTAAGAGGGCGACACATGTGGACGCTCGTGTCGGGGATGAGAATGATTAGCACCCCGGCCCACGCCCCGCCCGGCCCATTCCTGACCCAAATACCCGCCTCGCGTTCTCATGAATTTTTCATCCTCGTGAGGCGTCCGGCCGGCCGGCCCTGACCATGTCATGTGCCATGTGCCGCCCATAACAAGGCACGTAATGGGACTCGATCGCGGGGGCGGCGGCGGCG